ATTTCACAAATTCATTAAAAGCATTGTTTATTAGCCTTCACCGGTCAAACAGGATTAGCATGACATCCAGGGAAAAACTCCAGAAACCTCACAGCTTGAATTGCAGAGGATGACAGTATGTGTATCAAACCAGATCAAAGATGGCCGCTTGGAACGCACCGCTCAGCATGTGTTCCACTCACCGGAAGTTGCGCAGGACGTTCAGATGGCAGACCGGAAGTGCGTCAATGAGTTGCACCCCTCCTACTGGACGTTCTCAAGACACACACCTCCAGTCACCAGCTCCTTAAATAGCAATACAAAGACCATCCCCTCTTTACTGGGTATTGGATTATATTCCATACGTTGCACTAATATGTTAGATAACATTTTTTTTTCCCTGGCACTGCCCATCCATTCAATGCAACCCTATTCAAATTCGGCACATTCTCTCCAGAGTCTTGCTGAATTTGAATTTGGGACTTAACAGTTCCACAAGTAATAGTTTGTTATCAGGTGTTGATATGCTGCCTGATCCAGTATTATTTTTGTATACTATTGGTCTTTTTTTGTTTGCTAGCTTTTTTTAGACGTTTTCCAAGTTATTCACACATTGCTGAGAGTTCTGGGTATTGTAAATTACTTAGGCTTCAAGTTTCCTATTTTGTACAGTATTTTCTCTCTTTAACATAAGCAAATACAAGTCTATAATTCAAGTGCTTTGGATGTTTTATTTGAATAATATGTGCCAAATCCCAAGACTTATACTTACACAGAATTAATATTTTGTCTTATAGTTTTTTAAACTCCACATTATGGGTATTAAAATAATTTCACACAATGTACAGGGGTTTAATTCCCCTTCCAAATGCAGAAAAGCTTTTATGCAATCTAAAAAAATTAGTGCTGAAATTAATATGATTCAGGAGAAACATTTCCAAAGTAATAAGCATCCAAAGTATTTTCCTAAAACATTTTCTCAAGTGTTCTGTACAACATGCTCCTCTAAACGTAGAGGTGCTGCTATTTTTATACACAATTCTCTGGTATTTGATACCCAACAAGTGTATAGAGATCCGGAAAGCATATTTTTAATCATTAAAGGGTCCATAGTGGATAGGGAGCTTACTATTGCAATGTCTATGCCCCTAATGATGCCCTCACAGTGTTTTTTTAGATTTTTTTTTATATTCTAGAGGGATATCGCTCTTCTCATATGTTTGTAGGTGGAGATTTTAATCTAGTGTCTCAGCCTTCCCTTGACAGAAGTAACCCAACCAACAATTCAAAAGCATTCCCTAAAAGTCTTGTAAAATACCTCATTAATAATGAATTAATTGACTCTTGGAGAGCCCATAACACTGATGCTAAAGAATTTTCCTTCTTTTCACACCCTCATCAAACCTCAAGCCAGGCTTGACTATATATTTTGTACCCCAGTTATTTTGGCTAATTCTTTTTTAGCTGATATACGTCCATGTGCTTGGTCAGACCATCATATGATCTTATTAGCCATTTCATGTATTGGACTGCCTGATACTCCATACTCATGGCATCTGAATGATTCTTTACTTTCTGACCCTCCTATAAAAACTGAAATCACTTTGGCTCTTGAGGAATATTTTACTTTAAACTCTACACCCAAATCATCTATCCCTATTGTGTGGACTGCTCATAAAGTAGTCCCACAAGGCCACTTAATTAGTATTGCAGCAGCACGCAATAAGGAAAACTGGCTAAAAATCCATTCTCTTGCCAAGGAACTCAAACTACTATATAACACACAAGACCAAACTCCTTCTGATTAAAATTTTTTTCTGTTTTTGCAGTTAAGAGGGTATCCAATTCTAGTCTCTTAGCTGATATGGCTTGAAAAATATAAACAGTCAAAAGCCAAATTTCTACTTTACAGCAATTCAGCATCAACTATGTTTGCTCGAAAACTGAAACAAACAATAAGCCCTCCGCACGTATACAAACTTAATTCTACATCTGTAAATATCTCTTCGTTACCTAAAGAAGTCTCACAAATTTTTGAAAAATTTTATAAGGGTCTGCTTGCCCCCTCCCCCCCCATTGATGTAATACTAGATTCGGCACTGGATTGGTTTGAAAATATCCCCCTCCCTTCAATCACAAATTCCTAAAAAGATATGTTAAATTCACCCTGTACAGAAGCAGAAATACTCAAAGTCATTAAATCTTTAAAACGTTCTACAGCCCCGGGTCCAGATGGGTACACCTCAGCCTATTATAAGCATTTTGCCACAATTGTAGCCCCTAAATTGTTATCTGTTTTCAATTTTATTCTCCAAGGCCATCACTTGCCAGATTAAATGCTATTGGCGAACATGTCATTGTTACCTAAACGTAAAAAGGATCATCTTTACCCTCAAAACTACAGGCTGATTTTGATGATTAATAATGATCTAAAAATATTTAGTAGAATTCTAGCTGACAGATTAGCCTCTATTATTCCATCTATTATTTCTCCAGATCAATCAGGATTTATTCCAAACAGATTAATTACAGATAATATAAGGCTCGCTACCAATGTTTTACAAGATGCCAATCTACAATCGAAAGAGGTGGTTTTATTAAGTTTAGACATACACAAAGCTTTTGATAGAGTGACATGGCCTTATCTCAATATTCTACTCCAACGCTTTGGAATAGATGGAAAATATAATCAAGGCATCCAAGCGTTATACCACTCTCCCAAAACAAGAATTAAAATCCCAGGCTATAACTCAGAATTCTTTTCTGTGGGTAGAGGCACTTGTCAAGGCTGTCTCCTTTCACAGCTAATTTTTGCATTGGCGATGGAACCCCTTGCTAAAGCGATCAATAAGCACTCTGACATTGCTGGATACTCTAATGGCTTCCAAGAATTTAAACTTTGTTTGTATGCAGATGATGCCCTACTATTTATCGCTGAACCATTACTCTCTTTACCGAACCTTCTCTCTACTCTTAATAAATTCTCCTCCCTTTCAGGTTTACAGGTCAATCTTTCTAAATCTAATGCGTTACCAATTAATAAACCTCCTTCCTTAAGAGAAAGACTTAAAATTTCTTTCCCATTTCAATGGTCTAAAGATTCGAATCCTTATTTAGGAATTTATTTGACCCACTCTTTCGTGACCTATTCTTATACCATTATAGTACTATTCATACTAAAAATACAAATCTTCTTAAACTCTGGAGAACATTCCCTATATCATTTTTGGGCAGAGTGCCAGCAATTAAAATGAGTATACTCCCCAAACTACTATACTTATTTAGGGCCCTCCCAATAAAAATCTCTAAGACATTTCTAGATGGCATCAAAGGGAGATTGATACCTTTATATGGCTAGGCAAACATAAAAGATTTTCTAAGCCAGTACTTTATAACTCAAAACCCTTGGGTGATTTAGGTGTTCCACACATATTGTCATATTATCTTGCCGCCAGATTTGCTCAATTAGCACAGTGGAATATCCTCCATTCTAAGATCCCTTGCATTAAATTTGAGTCAGGTTCAATTTATCAATACTATCTCCTCAGTTTACTTTGGTCATCTAGTATTACTTATACAATGATTGCCCCATATAACTGCCTGGTTGCACAAGCCATACAATTATGTAACTCATATGAAAAATAATTTAATCTGATCTCTAAGATTTCCCCGCTGACTTCCTTTTTGGGAGATCCTAAATTGGGTACTGCATTCTCATCACCATAGAGAACTACATAGATATTATCAAATCAGATAATTTTTTGCAACAATTTATTCCCTATCAGTCTCAAAGGATTGAACTATTTTGGAAAAGATATGTAAATCTTCTTCTAGAAGTAAAGGAATTATATGGACTATCTATAAGGTTATACAAACATCACCTAATCCAGATAAACAGCCATACATGCTAAAGTGGGAACAGGAAAGTGGTGCCCAATACTCTATAGAAGAATGGTCTAACATGATATTGACTCTCCATAAATTTACTCGTTCCATATCTATAAGGGAAACAGCTATGAAAGTAATAACTTGTTAGTATTATACTCCCTCTAGAATTCATAATATGTATGTGGATTCTTCAGAGATTTTGTTTTAGAGGTTGCTCAGCAGAAGGATCTTTCCTATATATGTTTTGAGATTGTGAAGTATTGAAACCATTATGGCTTAGGGTATCTTCCTTTGCTTCTCAAATAGCAACTAGCCCTATCATCCTTTCTCCATCAATATTTGCATCAATTCTTGGCCTGTCTCCCCTTGCAATACAACTAATTCATACTGTATGTGTGGCCATACAGTGGTCTATTGCCTTCAATTGGAAAAAAATCTTTTGTTTCCTTTCACATATCACAGATAGAGTGGACTGTATTATGTTGACTGCAAGAATTTTCCATATGATCCATATGATCTCTGAAACCATGCACATTTTCAATGCAAAATGGAACCCATAGCTCCCTATAAGAAGTTCATTTAACCACCTCCCGCCTGCCATATTGTCCAATGACGGGCGCAAGGTGGTTCTCTCGTTCTGGGACGACGTCATACGACGTCCTCCCATTCTCACTGCGCGTGCGCAGCCCAGGGAGCGTGCAGCGTGGCGATCGGCGGTGCGCTGTGTCCCTCGGACACAGCGGATGGCCGATCCATGGAAAGAGCCGAAGATGTCGGCTCGGTCATGTGATCAGCTGTGTCCAATCACAGCTAATCACATGTAAACTGGGAAATGCCGGTTATCGGCATTTCTCTCCTCTCGAGCTGTCGCGCTGACAGCTCGAGAGGAGAGCCGGTAATCGGCATTCCGCGGAGGGGACATGTACACTGATCATCAGGGCACTGATGATCAGTGTGCCCTGATGATCAGTGTGGCCCCAGAAGTGCCACCTGGCAGTGTCCATCAGTGCCAGCTGTCAGTGCTGAACAGTGTCGTGTGCCAGTGCCCATCAGTGCCACATCAATGCCTCATATCAGTGCCTACCAGTGCACATCAATGCCACATATCAGTGCCCTTCTGAACTGCCTTTCAGTGTCACCCATCAGTACTAGTCAGTGCCACCTATCAGTGCCAGTCAGTGCCACCTATCAGTGCCAGTCAGTGCCACCTATCAGTGCCAGTCAGTGCCGCCTATCAGTGTGCATCAGTGCCGCATATCAGTGCCCATCTGTGCCGTCTATCGGTGCCAGTCAGTGCTGCCTAACAGTGCCAGTCAGTGCCACCTATCAGTGCCAGTCAGTGCCGCCTATCAGTGCCATATATCAGTGCTGCCTTTCAGTGCCCATCAGTGATGCCTGTCAATGCCCATCAGTGTCACCTACCAGTGCCTCCTCATCAGTGCCCGTCAGTGCCACCTATCAGTGTCCATCAGTGCAGCCGATCAGTGCTCATCACTGCAGTCTCATTAGCGCACATCAGTGAAGGAGAAAAATCACTTATTTATAAAATTGTATAACAAAAACTAAGAAAAAACGTTTTTTTTTCTTCAAAATTTTCAGTGGTTTTTGGTTTGTTTAAGAAAAACTAAAAAACCCAGAGGTGATTAAATACCACAAAAATAAAGCTCTATCTGTCACAAAAAAATGATAAAAATTTCATATGGGTACAGTGTTGCATGACCGTGCAATTGTCATTCAAAGTATGACAGCGCTGAGAGCTGGAAATTGGCCTGGGCAGGAAGGGGGTATAAGTGCCCTGTAGGCAAGCGATTAACACCTAGAATCTCAAATTGATCATTTTTCTTTTTATTTAGTCTTGAGTAAAGTTTCTTGTGTAATTCAGTAATTTGCCAAAACAGTTTAACATCATATACAATTTAAATGCCTTAAACTGCATTCAGTGTTTTTGTTATACAAAATATACATTATATCTCTTCGTACAATTATATTTTGTTATGCTTTTTGTAAACTATAATGCGTATGACTTATGTAATTATTGTCCATATATTGTAATGTACATTTTTCTTATATAAACCTTTTGAATAAACAGTTTGTAAACAAATAAAGAAATGTCATACTATGTCATATAATTCATTGCATCTTGTGCAAATACAGCAAAACTCCCCTAGAGGGAATTGTCGTAGGAAGACATTCTCAGGGGATCAGATCCACTTAAGAACATCTTACTACAATGAAATGCGTCAGTGCGGTGCTTGTTATGATGTCATCACACTTCAGGACTTGTGGTGGGTCCATTTGGAATGCTGCTCTGTTTACTGTAAATATTGTGAGTAACTTTTTAGAATATTAAAGCGATGTTTATGGTTTTACACTATGCGTCCTTTGTGTTTTATGTTTTGCAGGTCCAGCACACATACCTGCTGGTGAAGCCTGTGATTCCATTTGCGTGGTCTGAATAGGACCATACAGCATACAAGCCTAGTGAATAAGTGCCATTTTGAATTTCAGGTAAGAGGCTGGTGTTTACTGTATGTGTGGTGGAGGAGTCACATATAAGGCCACAGAAGAGATTGTCTGCTCACAAATGAACTTTATTTCAGCATTCATTTGTATATTTGCGGTGGTTTGCACAGATGGAATGAACTTCACAATACAGTACAAACTTTTTGAAGCAATTTGTTTATTTGCACAGAAGTCACGGAGGAGTTTGTCAGTTCAGTGGCAAACATTTTCAGCCTTATTTGCACATTTGTACAGTATTTGCACAAGATGAAATGAATTATATGGCACAGTAAGAATTTGTTTATTGATGAATGAATGGTTTAGTAGTATATTTGTTTATGACACTTTGCACATGACATGATTTTATTATGAATTGCATTATTGCTGAATTTTCACAGGAGAGATGATTTATTTCAAGACGCAAGGCAACAATAAATATTGGTGTATATGATCACAGTTTGTATTTGGATGTACTGTTGAGTGCAGCTGCAACTATTGGTTTTTGATATTTGATTTGGGTTACTTAGCACAGTTATTTAAGTTTTTTATTTTTATAAGGAAATATTAACTGAACTGAATTCATCTTCCATCTAAAAGAGTCAATTAAAGCGGAACTAAAGTAAGTAATACCTACCTCTCCTTCAACAGTCCAAGGTCCCTACCCTGCATCTTCTAATCTGCTTCTCCCTGGTGCTGGGAGGCGGCCAACTTTTGCACATGAGCAGCAGTTCAGTCATAGTGGCACACAGGATCTGTTCCAGAATGTAAACTGAGCTGTGCATATGCAGCTTAGTGTACATTCTAAAGAAGAATGTGAACAGACACATTTATTTTATTGCAGACTTTAGTTCCAATTTAAGAAGGGGAAATAGTTCACATAATAAACCTGGAGCCAAATTGTTCACTTTAGGCGTTTTACAAATGACAAAAAGGTACTCTTTGTGACATGTGACAAAAAGGTTTTACCTCCACATAAGTAAAGGCTTCTTTCCAGTATGAACTTTTAAAATGTGGAATAGACTTCCACACTGTTAGTTTTAACCAACTCTGTAGATTATTAAAAAAAAAGGCTTGATGTGTTTTCTACATGCACAACATATATCTGTCTTTTAATATGTATAACTAATAACACATCAGATTGTTGTTCTGTGAAGTATCACGTAATGATCAGAAAATATTTTTTTTCCCTGTTGGAGCAAATTGGACTGTGGCTTTTCACCTACTCTGGAAATGCAGTCACAGTTCAAGAAACCTGGCAGCTATGTGTGTGGCAGTCACCCGAAAACAATAGCCAGCAGTGGAGGTTCCTCCCACCATGCTGTTTAGCAGGGATGGAGTTATACATTGGTTTAAAACAGGAGTGTCCAACGATGTGGATCCTGAGAGTTTAGCATGCAGCCTGGCCCGTTTGGAGGGACTTTGGGTATGATGTGCACCAAGGCCCCATGCCTACAACTCCCCAACACAACGCATACATAGGCTACATTCACGCCAGTGTTTAGGGTCTGTGTGAATTGTCGTGGCAGTTTTTCCTGTGGCTCTCATAAAAATGATAGAAAAATGGAAAAAAACAGTGAGTCCCCAATTCCAAGAAATTGAAAATATCAAAGGTGCAAACGTGAATCTTCAATTGCTAGATGACCAAACATTATCTGTGCGATACACGTGTCACCCCACTCCATGCTGAAAGAAGGCTTACCAGATGTATTTGACCATCATGTTATAGAGTGGTCAAAATCAGCTCAAGAATGATAATTAAGCAACCGTTCCAGCCTGCTCCATAGCATCCAAATGTGGTTCAAATAAAGTTCGCCCACTCCGTATTGACCATCAATGTATGCGTTGTCAGGCATAAAAGTGGCATGACGTGAGAAAGCTGTGGGAAGCAATGGAGCCAGTTTGAGAAGCCACAGTGTTGAGTCCTGGTGAGTTCGGGTGTTGTTCTCCCGCCCTGTTTCGGGAAGCAGGTAAAGAGGAGGAAAACATGAATAATGTTTGGTTATCTAGCAATTGAAGATTCACATTTGCACCTTTTGATATTTTCAATTTCTTGGAATTGGGACTAACTTTTATTTTTCATTTTTTATATAATTTTTATCTTGTATTGGAAGCAATTTCACATCTAGCTTTACGTATGTACAGCTAGGATTGCATTATTATTTTTTTAATTTATTCATTTAGCGCTACACTTTTATATGAGTGTATTTTATGTACTGCCCAAGACAATTACTCTTCTTTCCATGTGGCCCAGGAAGGTCAAAAGGTAGGAAACCTCTGGTTTAAAAGATCTAATAATGTAAAGTTAGCTTTACTTTGTAACTATGTAAGCACAACAACAGACATATTAGCTTATGCAAAAACTATTAATACAGTGTAACATTTATGTTACTTTTTGGCGTAATATCTGTGAAAACATAGGGGGGTTATTTACTAACACAGCATGATGCAAAACCTGGTGGAGCTCTGATTAGAAACTAATCAGCCTCCAGGTTTTATTGTCAAAGTTTAATTGAACAAGCTGACATTAGAAGCTGATTGGCTACTGTGCACAGCTGCACCAGATTCTGTGATGTGTGTTTTAGTAAATGCCCCCCACAGTATTCAAAATAATATCACCATCATTTTCTGCCCCATTCTTCAAAATCTCCACTATAGCATTCTATGGTATAATGAAGTGTCAACACCGGGCTATTGTGGCATTTACTCTAAATCAATTGCTGACATGGCTTTCTTATTTTTACATGTCCATATTGACAATTGTGCTGATTTAAAGTGTTACTAAACCCACAACAGTAAAATCAGTCTGTATATGCCGTAAAGCATGCTTTTTATACCCACTGTGGAACCTAAGGGGTTAATCCTCTGCATTGTGCAAGAAGGATGTTTGATCCTTTCTTCTCTGATCCTCCCCTTCATCTACTGTCCCCAATCCATCTGCTGACAGAACAGAGCCTTGGAGCCAAGCTGCACATGCTTACGTTGGTGTATATTGCTAGAGAGTTTTTTTTTTCTTGGGAGAGTGCATGCCATCAATACAAGGCCAATCAGTGCTGTCCAGAGAGAGGGTTAGGGGTCCTGCAGCCTCATATGACAATCCGGAGAGAATGAAAACTCCTCCTACAAGCTTTAACCACTGCTCTTCTGGACACTGATAGTCACAAGACTGTTCTAATTGCTGATGAGAAAAGGTATTTAGCAGTTTGTATTTACTAAAATAATTCCATTTCCATGTTGTATGTATTGTGGGAGACCAGATATAGTAAATGCAGGGTCCTGGGTTTAGTAACACTTTAATGTTCCTTCCCTCCTCTCCTCTGGCAGAATAATTTGTATAAATGTATAAATTCTCCCAGGATATCCAGATAACAGGAATAGGATGTACCTGGGGGAAGTTAAACTATTTTGACTCAATCACTAGCAATGACTGTGCTATTATGACTCAATCGCTTTTGTTTTACAAGTTTCCCTTCAAGTCCACTTGGCAGAGGTGGGGTGTTCAGTGCAACCTTATCTCCAGTAAGAGCCTCCTGCTAGAGACAGGGCTGGGACAAGATGGGGGGCAAAAGGGCACCTGCCATGGGCGCAGTGTTGAGGGTGGCATATTGGCATACTCCTCCTGCATCTCAGGGACAGGATCAAAGCTGTCGGCTTCTGTCCCCACCGCCGGCCTGTCCACCACTTTGACTTGCATCCAAGAGACAGTAATCAGTCCTTGGGCTTGTTTTTTGAAGTTTTATTAGGATAATTGAACTTGGATAAGGTAAGGGGTGTATGGGATGCCCAGTGGAACTAAGAAACCAAGGACAACTTCCTGAAACTATATACAAGTTTTTACAGCAAAACAGTCTCTTTTGGAGAGCTAGCCATCCGGACCCCAGATGAATCCTCCACTCATTCAGCTATTTAAAGGAAATCCCTGAGCAGGGAATCCAGTGCCTGCTTTATTAGAGTAAGACAGTCCTGGGTAGTTACTAATATGGTTTCCCACCAGAGTGATCCTTCCCC